TATGCAATAAACAAGAGAGTGCAGATATTTTTTCAAGTGAGTGTTTTCTATTTGGGGAGTAAATAGTCAGAAATGAGATAGCTGGACTGCATGGCATTTCTGTTTACCTTATTTGAAGCATCTCCAAATCTCTTGTGTAGAGGCTGCCCTCATTTTTTTTTTCATCATCCTGTTAATTGTCGATTGCCTTGAGCAGGCCCCAGTAACGTCTCTTTCATCCTAGCCCTGAGATTATATTCACGGCTCTTTAGGAGAATGAGACCCATCATTGTTACTGGTATTTGGCATATTTGGTAGGCCACGGGGAGTTTGCCAGACTCTGCCCTGTGGGCAGGCTACATTTGATAGCCTGCAAGTTTGTCCAAAGTAGGAATGAGATAATAAAGAGGCTGCCCTATTTGCCAGTAATGAACATTTCTATGTCACTGAGTGTTTACTCTGAGTTTATATTCCGGAGCTGATGATGGGGTAGGGCCTGTGGATATCACTGTTTTTAGACTGGGAAATTGGGGTTCAGGGGGTTGCAGTGTCCTGCCTGTTCACCAACTATGGGTTCTCCATATGGCCTGTATTGGAGCCAAGCCCTTGCCTCTTATGAATTCTCTGGCAGGTCTCTGCTGGTCCTCATGGATGGGGGCTTTCTCACTGCCCATGGTGGGCAGCAGCTGGCCAAGCCACCTGCAGGCAGCCAGTCTGGGTCAGTACAGCTAGAGGTCACTCTTCTCTCCAGACCCTTAAGCCCAGCCCGCTGCTTCCAGACACTTCAGCAGTATGAGCTGATCAAGTCCCTTTGCCTAATGCCTTTTGAGCCGGTTTCAAGACACCTAAAAAGTCCAGACTAATAAAGCATCTCATTGAGCTAAAACCTGAGTATCTGACAAGTTCTTGACATGCCCAGCAGGCAATTTTGTTTCCCAGCAGATAGAGGAAGCAACCTGGGAAATTGCTACTTGGGACCTAATTCTGACTAACAGGGACAGATTGACCAGTGAAGTGGATGTGACAGTAACCAGGGAGAAAAATGGTCATATTGTGTCGAGTTTGTGGTGACCTGAGCTGGGCAAATTAGACACAGACTTAGACAAACCCAAGATATCTATACTATCGTATTATCTATGATTTTAAGAGGTTTGGTAATTCTCAAAGTTGTTAAGAATTGACAGTTCATCAAAAATTCAAATATACTCTTTTCAAATGAGCCTGGGAGATTTAGACTCAAGGAAATATCAACTTAGTACAGGGTATGCTTGAAGAGTCTAAAATTAGGTGAGATTGGGGAAACATAATATCTAAGAAATTTTAAACAGAACTCCTGCAACCCACGCTGTCAGTGGAGAGATCCCATTTAAAATAATAATGCTAAACTACTGAATTATAGTAACCTACAGTATGCTAGTATCTCCTGAGTGTGATTTGGTGATGCACACAGATTAAGACTGAGGACTGGCACTCCACAATGTATTCAGTGCCTCTGCTTAAATCCTTCTTACCTCAGTGTCCCTCCCTAGAGGTGCGTGTGAGAGGGAAATGAAGCCTTAGCTAATGATGAATAGTATCCTGAGAGCAACAAAAAAGGCAGAGATTCTGGTACCCGTACCCTGTATAATCTGAATAAGAAAAAGTACCCAAGACAGTTTCTAGAATATATGGGAAGAGTGTAGTGAGATTATCAGTGCAGTTAAGTCTCAGACTGGCATGAACTCAGAGCTAAGGCTCTTTCCTTTGTTCTGACTCCTGGGCACGTTGGAAAGTTCAAAACATTTTTGAATTTTTTGCAAGGGATGAGGTCCCTTTCTAGAGGGCGACACTGACAGACAAAATCTGGCAAGCAATTTCAGGGGATTCCTAGAATTCAGCCCCAGATAAGAGATTCTGTAATAAATGGAAGCAATAGTTGTAAGTCTACCCTTGCAGAACAAGTAAGCTCGCTTTCCTCGGGTCTAAAACTCTCTAAACTTCCTGATCTCTGAAATGGGGATGTTGATATCTCTCAGTTCACAGGGATGTTGTGAAAGTGTAGTAAAATAGTGCATTTGACGCTCAAAGCAGGTGTTTGGCATGAGGCAAATGTTCAATAATTGCCAACAAAAGGGGTTTGATTGTTATTATTACTATTGGTAGGACCCACAATTTGTTAGGCTATTTTTCTCAGCAGATTAGGGTTTGTTTTGGATTTCCTAAGTAGTTTCCTGCTTGGTGGGTTTTAGTTGAAATACACTAATAATGACAGTTACCATTTAAAAAAATATGTGCAGCTGAACTCCTGTGTTTGCAGTATTATTCTGTCTTGAGTTTAAATTTATTATTTATTATTATTTTTGAGTGTAGACAGTAAGGGAGAGCAAAAACTTATCCCCTTTCTTTTTAGATAAAGCACATGTAGAGCAAAAGCAAAAGCCACCTCCTGAACCACACATGGGTCAACAAAAACTCCCCATGATCCAGCAATGGTAACCTTTGTGATTCCAGAATCACTTTTGTCTGGACCTGTAGTATGTTGGCTGCTATTCTGTGGCACAAAATCAGTGACCCAGTTTCCTGGTGATGCCCAAATGAAGGGTCTGGTTACAACCCGGTTAGAATTTTGGCACCTTTACACAAACAGTGAAAAGATAAGGCACAACACAACTTAACACAGAGAGAACTGGCTCTGTTCTCCTGGGGCCCCAGATGTCTCAAACACCTGGACACAGCCCTTGCTACAGCACAGCAGTGAAGACAAGCTGAGTGATAGTCCGTCCCTAGACCTTTAGCCTGTAGCAATCTGGCCTTGCAGATGGACCCCCACGTTGGGTTTGTGAACAGTGAGGGAGTCCTAATCCTCTCACAGCTGATGTTCTGTGGGGCATTTCACATCTTCACATCTGCACTCACCTGGATACTCACAATCACTGCATGGGTGGATTGTTCCGTGTGCTGGGTCTGTGGGCCTGCCTCAGTTTCTCTGTCATGTGTGGCTCTTTTTTCCACCCTCACCCTCACCTCCCTCTGCCCTGGTGGATCTTTGCACCTGCTCTTCTCTCTTCCTTCCAAATCTTTCTGTTCTTTCCTACTCATTCTCCCCTCTTGACTCCTACTCATTTTACTTTATTTTATTTTGATGGAGTGTTTGAATCACACCTATGGCGTTCAGAGTGCTGCCAGATGAACCTGGATTGGTCATGCAAGATAAAGGCCCTAACCACTATACTATCTCTTTGCCCCCTCCTACTCATTTTTAAGAACTTAGTTGCAAGCATCTTTCCTTCCATAGAGCTTCTCCTGGTCTCCCAGACTAGAGGGGGACTCTCAGGACACATGCCCATCATTCCCAACTCTTCCTCAGTCTCTTCTCCTGCTTGAGACTCTTTGGTCCTCCTTCATCTTGGCGCTCCCAGTTGGAAGGGATGAATGGGGGCATGTGGCCATCATCACTAGACAGGCAAGGAAGAGGTCCAGAGGAGGGTGTCACCTCTCAAGGTCACAGCACTAGGCAGAAGTGTTGATGCTGGCACTCAGGAGTCCTGGCTCTCAGCTGCTTCTGTGATCTTTGTGCTGCCCAGTGGGGAGAGTTTTCTGGTCACTTCTGGGAGAGATCAGGACAAGTTCTATGTCTCCACCCAGGCAGGGTGTCCAAGGCAGCTGTAGACCCAGTTCTCAGGGGAACAGAACACCTTGTTGTTGCGATCCCTAGCTCAATTCAGCAAGACAACACTGGGGGGCCCAGTTGCCCGCCTCCAGCTCACTCGGCATCCTTCGAGGCAGGCCCTGAAGGCCCTGCAATTACGCCCACTCTCCCACGAACCCACGGTAGGGATGTGGGTAATTAAGGAGGAGGATGACAGGCCTTTCTTCATCACCAAGCACATCTCCCACCTCCTTGGGGGCATTACTGCCTTAGGCGCAAAGTCTTTCTCAGGCTCACGAAGCTGCTCTCTTCACCACTTAACTCTTTAGGCTGTGTCTGAGGTTTGGGGCTGGGTTCAGAAGATGCGGGGGATGAGACTGAGTTCTAGGGGGGCAGTGACTTGTTTGGCAGCTCACCACATCACCAGGTGTTAGGCTGGTCCTGGGCACCCGGGAGATGCTCCAAGGACACTTGTTACAAGAGTGCTCTTGGCTTCTGGAATTTACTCTCCCTTGGTTATGAGGATGGTTATTAGTTTGTTTTACAGACCAGGTGACCCAGGTTCAGAGAGTCAATTGCCAAAGGTCAAACACAGAGGAAGAAATCTGTGTATGTGTGTGTGTGTGTGGGTTTGGGGGGGGGGGTAGGATTCAATCCCAGGCCAACAACACTCCCAGTGGGAAAGGGGTATGGAATTTGGGCAAGGAGGGGCTCATTATGTGAGTGGCAGGAAGACAAGGGCAGTCCCGACATGCTGCTCACCAGAGAAGGCAAGAGAAATAGTAACAACACACTTCTAAACCAACTGCAAAGCTCCAATTCCAAGGGTGCTCAGGGTCCACAGAGCCAGATCCTAGGATTCATGTTGGCTTCCCAGAACTTAACTCTGATCCTGCAGCAGGAACCATGTGGCCTCAGGTTCTGCAACCCTTGCATCCCTCTGTTTTTCTTATTTCATTTTGTTTTTTTGGGGCCACTCCTGGTTCTGCACTCAAGGATCACTCCTGGCAGTGCTGGGGAGGAGGCGCATATGGGGGTGAGGGATGGAACTTGTGTCAGCCTTGTGCAAGGCCAGCGCCCTTCCCGATGTGCTATCTCTCCAGCACCCTGGGGCTTCTCCTTAGCTTTGTGGGGCTCAGTCTCCATGGGCAGTCTGAGTCCAGGGAGTCTGCTGAGCACTCTGCTTGGGAGCAGGCTGGCCGGGCCACGGTTGGAGGCCCACAGGGATGTAAGACAGCTTCCTTGTCACTTCCCACTGGCCACACTAGCAACTTCCCTGGACCTTCCAGGGAGCAATGAATGGTAGAACTGCAGTTTTGAAGACAAGCCTAAAGCAAAGCTGATGTGAAAATGGAAGACTGCGTCTCCTCAGAGAGGGTTCAGAGGTGCTTACCTGTGAGGTACATTTCCTCCCCTTCGGTGAACATCTGGTGGCAGCGGACACATCGGGCACAGGTGGGGTGGTAGTGCTTCCCTCCTGCCTATGGGAATCAGATGGAGCACGAGGTCAGACGGGGGCTGCCGCTCAGCAGGGATGGGCTGTGTAGGTTTATTTCCTGAGCACATGAATGCTGGTGTCTTCACAGACCGGAAGTTGCTTGAGTCTACTGAAGGGCATTGGGCCATCTAACTGTCCATGCTGGGGGGTAGGGGGATGCTATACCAGGAATGTCTGAGGGCAGCAGGGACTTCCCTGGATACCTGGACTAACATTCAGGCAGGACAGGGTCCATAGAGGTCTCCAGACCCGTATTTTGGTTTCCATCAGAGACAAACAAGGTTGCTTTGAGGACACCCAGGATTCATTTCCCCAAGAATGGGGCCCTCAATCTGCAGTTCTGGGTGATTAAAAGGGTTATGATGGCCAGGAATTTTTTTTTATCACATTGGCTCGTTATGGGCAATAATCTCCTTTATTCTGATTTTTTTTCCAATGAGAAAGTACCAGGTTTGTGCCAGTATTATTTTCATATCTGTTCCAAATTTAACCATTTCCATTTGTCAGAATGAGAATCGTGATGAAGCTTTGAGTCACCACAAGTGATGGACTCACACTAGGATTGTATCTTTTGCTTTCTGAGTAATGGAATCCAGCTAGGACTATATCTTTTGCTTCCTGATAATATGCAATGGTCCTTGTTTTCCTATCATGTCATCAAAACAACTTTTAAATTTTGTTTTTGGGCCACATTGGGTTGTGCTCAGGGCATACTTCTGACACTGCACTCAGGGATCACTCCTGGAGTGATCACGGAAACATAAGTGATGTAGGGGATTGAATTCCTGTCAACCATATTCAAGGCAAGTGTCTTACTCTCTTCTCTCCAGCCTTAAGTATCTGCCATAGCGGCAGGCTGGGAGTGAGGAGGGAAACTGGGACACTGGAGGCAGGAAATGGACATTGGTAAAGGGATTCTTGAACACTGTATGACTGAAATTCAAAAATAAACAACTTTAAAACTCTATCATAAATTTTGATAATTTTTTCAATTAAAAATAGTATTTTTTGGATCTCCCAAGTAGTGTTCAGGAGGCCCAGAGGACTCTCCTGGTCAGCTGGACCACTGGCTCCATGCAGAAGCCTGGGAATATAGTGTAGTCCTCAGGACTACATCCAATGGTGCTTGGAGGAACACATGGTGCTGGGGATTGAACCAAGGAGGGCTACATAGAAGGAAAGTCCCTTATCCCCTGTACCATTTTTCTAGTGGTACAGGGTTATGACGTCTAGTCTACGTCATAACACTTTCCTTGCAGTCAGTGAGTCAGTCAAAGACTGGTCAGAATTCAAACACAAGTTTCACAGGCAAGGAAAGAGTTATCAGGGTAGCACAGGAGGGGCCAACTTTTAGGGTTCAGCGGCCCAGTAATGGGACTTCAGTAACGAAGATCTAGATTGGTACCTTGGACAGCTGCACCTGGTGTCTGTGCACCTGTGCTGCAGCTCACTCTTGTGTGACTTTGAGGAGCTCCTTCCCTCATGCCACATGTCTCTGCTATTACTTAGACGAAAACAGAAACGCTTTGCGGTTGTAAATTCTATGATGGGAAGATAGCACCAGAGGAGGTGATGCCTCATGGTCTCACTGAGGGTCAATAGGAAGGCTGACCAGCCCCAGGTAGGCACTTCCCTTGGCTCTGAGGCACCCAGGCAAGTGACATACAGACCCTTCAGTGGGGTCCCAGAGTTTCATTATGGGATTAACTGGTACACCAATTAAATGGGTTGCAGGTAAGGCTTGTTCTAAAGGTGTATTTGTTTGGGGAGGGTTGTTTTGGGGGAGACAGACAAGGATATAAATGAATTCTGGGGACTTACTAAATGCCTTCCCCTTCCCTCACCAAGTCATCACTTATCTGGTGCCTATGGGTTCCTCCCAATTAAAAATATTCTTTATTCTTTATTATTATTTATTTAACCAGCCTTTACAATAAGGCTGATTCTTTTTTGGGGAGATTGGCAAAAGGCATTGATTATAGATTTGCCTGTTCTGGAGACACTTGATTATTCCAAAAAATCTTAGCAAGAATGTGGAAAGGGCAGAGTTTTAAAAAAGGAAACAAATAAACCCTCCAAGTCTTCCCCCCTCCAGTTGTTTGTATAACTCTCACCAATGATAACATATCCTTATCCTCCTCACAGCAAACTGTATTCCAACTGTGGAAGGAGTCTGCTCTTTCCCCGAGCTGAGATGCCGTGGGACTGATTCTCTTGTACCCTGACAAGGATAATCGGTTTAATTAGGAGCCTCTTCCTACGTAGTGTCTCTTTATTGTTTCAATTATAGACCTGTTTTCCAGGATGGCAATAGTGCCTTGGCAAAACTGCAGCTTGGCATCTTCCGATGTCACGCCCCACCAGCTGCCCCAGCTGAGAGAGGCTTCCTTTTCACTTCAGTGCCCCTGGCCCAGAGGGGGTGAAAATAAGGGGAAGGGAGCTAAGCTGTCAGCGCAGCCCCAACCAGAATACGGATTTTCGGGTTCTGTTTTGGGGCCACACCCAGTAGTGCTTGGGGGCTCACTCTCATTACTGTGCTCAGGGATAACTCTTGGTCATGCTTGGGGGACCTTCTGTAGTGCTGGCGACGGCCAGGGCCAGCTTCATGCAAAGGCAAATGCCTTACTCCTTGGACTAGCTCTCTGCAGCCCAATAGCTCCCCACTCCATTGGAATAAGGGAAGCCAAATGAGGAGATAGATGAGAAGTTCTGCCTGATTCAAACTGACACCCAGAAAAGAGCAAAGACAAACAGCAAAGATGTAGCATCTTGAAAATGGGAAGATAATGGAGAGGACCAGAAACTGCAAGCCAGGTCAAAAAGGCGGCTCAAGGATATCAGACTGAGCTTCTCTGGTGCAAGAATTTGGGGCTAATACATGACTGGAAGGAAGGAGAGCCTTGGGTACTTGTGTTGAGTTGTCACTGAGGAATGGATTGTGGGTTAGAGTGGGAAGTGGAAATGGAATTTAATTAAGTGCCAATTATGTGCCTGTCAACGTGCTGGGCCCTGGGGTGGGTGACTGTACTTCCATCTGGCCAACATCCTTCCCTTTCTTCCAGAAACAGCATCAAGCCTTTTTTTTGGTGGGACTTTCTGTGTCAGGCCAGCCCAAGGAGGACTGATGCCACCAACACTCCTTTGCAACTCTGTGGTCCCAGCCAAAGCATGGGAGGTGAGTTTGAGGTTGATGAGTGAGTCAAACCTAGACTATTTATTAAAGTAATAGAACAGGGAAGTTCTCCTTCCACCAGGGATGCTGTCAAAATAACTGTCAGCTAGGGGTGACTGATGTCCCACTGCCATGGCATAAAGAACAGCCTTCCTGAGAAGAAGGCCAACCCGAGAGAGTGTAGCCAAGACAATGAGATGCTACTTTGCTTAAGCACCAGATCCAGCTGTGTCTGAAGCCAGAACCATTTTTAGGCTTTTTATATGGAGCCAAACTTCCTTTATGGCCTGGGTTCTGACAGTTTCTCCACCTGTGACCCCAGAGGAAGGTCACACACCTGGGTGCATGTCCTGCATTCTTGCTCTGTGGCCACATAGCACTTCTCACAGCAGACTGTGGCTTCCCTTCACCGCACTTCTCTGCCATGCCAGCTGGCTATTCTACAACTTTGTTTTAAATTTAATATACCTGGACTCAACCCAGACATTATACACTTGAAGAGAGCACCAGAAGCCACAGGTTGAAAGTTCAGTCACATAAACTGCTCTCCCCAACCCCCAGTCTCAGGACGTCACCTGTAATTCTGACCAATGGGCTATAAATCAGGGTTGCCACAACTCCTGGCTTTGTTCAGTAATTAGACTAGGTTGGCTCACAGAACTCAGGGGGAGGTGTTAACCCAGTTATTATAAAATAACATGATATAGGATATAGATACACACCCAGATGGAAGAAATGTGAAGGGTAAAGCAGGGGCCCCTCTAGGGCACTCCTCTTTCTACCATGCTTCCTGCTCACCAATGGGGAAGCTCCCTGAGCCAGAACTTTTGAGATTTTTATGGAGGCATCACCACATAGACAAGATCAACAAGTCACTCTCCAGCTCACTCCTCTGCTCTCCCCACCCAATACAGAAGGATGGTGGGTGAGGCTGAGAGTTCCATGCCTTTAACTGCTATAGTGGAAGTGGAAAGGAGGAGCTCCAAGTGTACTAGTTAATGTAGTTGGTCAGTTTAAATCTCCCGCCATCAAAAGGTCTCCAAACAATGTACATAATGGGACGGCTAGGGGTGGGAGAGGAGAGCAGATGAAAGGAAGATCCTTGCCAGGTTCCCACTCTCTCTTCGAACACTCACCAAGACAGACTGCAGATCAGGTAGGCGTGTGTCGAATGCCCTGACGGAAGGCAGAATCAGGCAGGGAGCTTACTCACAGACAGACGGCTGGACAGGAGGGATCTCACCCATGTGCGCATGGCCATGGCGGGAGACGTAAGGACAGCTGAGATGTCAGGGAACAGCTGAGGTATGCATAGAGGCCCAGTGACAGGAACAGAGCCTGGGGGTCTTGCCCACACTCATGGGGGCATGGCCAGAGACTAAGGAAAACTGAGATGTCAGGGAACTGCTGGGATAGCGACAAGTGTTGGACTAGGAAAATGCACACTGGGTAGAAGATGGCTTTGGGACAAGACCAGGCCATTGTACACTGACTGGAGGCAAGCAGGAATGGCAGGGAACAGGGCTCACAAAGTCGTCGACTGGAATGGACATTGAGGGACAATGGGATGAGGGACATCTTATGTGGCTTTGTATGTGAATCTTTCATACAATTTTTAAGAACCCACTAGTGCAAGATTTATGGAAACCCAGAAGAACCCAATTTTGGGTTAACATAATCATGTCTTGCTCTGTGCAAGAGCTGGTGGAAAGGCAGAGACCACTGAATAAAATTTTTATAATTTCAGGTTAATAATACATCAGGAACCAAATGACAGCTGCATTTCCATTGCTTCACAAAGTCTCAAGAATCAGAGCAAGAGTTTTCCGTAAAGTTTCAAGGCAACCAGTGATAAAACTGGACTCCAGGTCCATTTCACAAATGAACTTTTAGGACATTCTGTGCCTTCCAAGACCCTTAAGTGGGTGCTGGGAGCTGGGAGCCTGATGCTACAGATGCTAGTGTCTGAGATTTGCACTTGGTCTCCCTGAGAAATGCTGACCATGACCTTGGGAAGGAATCCCATGCTCAGGCCTTCCTTTTAATTTTAATTTTTTTTATTGAATCACCATAAGATACAGTTACAAAGCTTTCATGTTTGAGTTTCAGTCATACAATGATCGAATACCCATCCCTCCACCAGTAGGCCTTCCTTTTCTCATGTGTAAAATAAGGAAGTGAAGTAGTTGACTTCTAAAAGTCTCATCTAACTTTAAGGGGGAAAAAATCAATACATGTAAGATGCTAATGGAGCCTTGCACAAAAGGAATCAATGGATCTGCAGTCATAGCAGCTGTGGGGGGGGGGGGGAAGAGGGTCACATGACCCTCCAGGAAAGCCCTACCAGGGCCACACCAGTATTACCAGTTCACAGACTGGCTCCCCAGCTGGGACAGCTCCTGCACAATCTCTTGGTGGAATCTACCTATTTTTTCCTTTTTGGAGGATCTCTATGATCTCTTGGTACATTGACCCTCCACTCCACCACAGTGGACGCCTCTCCCCAGAATCCTGCAGATCCAACAAACAGGTGTCCTGAGGGTGACGTTTCCCTAGTCCAAAGGCCTTTTCCCCACAGCACAATCTTTCACTCCCAGGAAGTCAGCTCCCAGCTCTGTGAATGACCCTCTGATGGACTCAACCCATCAGAGGGAGGCTTCTCAAGACCTACCATGGCTCTTTCCTATGGTCCCGGCTCTGCTTCTCTTCCTTCTCAGGAAACTTCTCAGTGACCTTCGCTGGTGGCCCCTCCCATCCCCAATCATTGCTTCTTCTTTTTATTTTCTTTTTGGGATGGGTTTTGGGCTGCATTGGTGGTACCCAGGTGCTGTTCCTGACTCTAGGCTCAGGAGTGACCCCTGGCAGCACTTGGGGGTCTATATGTGTTACTGGGGATTAAAGGATCAGGTTGGTGGCATGTAAGATGAGCTCCTACTATCCTGCCGCATGTAGATGCAACTTCCGACTGTTTCAATCCTGACATGAGCAAGTTGCCCTGCAGTTGCAGAGTGACCGAGATTCTCCTTTTGTGATGTATGCAGAGAGGGCGGCTACCCCACCTACTCTCATGCTGCCACTGAAGACACCCTGCCTTCTCATGGGGTCCCAGCCTCCTCACCGGTCTCCCATTTCCACTTTCTGTTCTCCAGATCTAACACAGGCTTATCAATCATGTTCTCCTCCCAAAGGCACAGCTCCAAGCAGACCACATCTGCTGATCTCGGAGACCCCACACTGCACAGTCAAAGAGATGCCGACTCTGCTATATCCAGGCCTGGGGATCTGGGTTTAACACCCCACCCATGCTCCTTCTCTGTGCCTGCTCTCAGCATCTCTCTCCAGCTTCTCCCTGGACTCCTCAATAGTTGATCAACTATGCATGTATTTGTCTCCAAAAAAAAAATCATATCATGCTGCTCCTCCTCAACTCCCACCCCCTGCCACTGGAAATCCAAATAGCCCCCCACCCCCCACCTGCATCTTGCTGGCAGAGAAGCAGCCCACTTCCACAACTAATCTCCAGAAGAACACGATGCTGCTGAATCTTCCCACGTAGACTGGTCCAGGCTGAGAACTCTGGGTCCTTCTCAGAATGGGGGCGGGCAGGTTCCCCTTTTGTCTAAAGGCATAGCAGCCCTCAGCCACACCTGCCACCTTCTGACATAGAAACGGCCCACTTCCACAAGTGAACCTCATCAAACTGCCAAGTCGCCAAATCATCCCAGGTCTATAGCTTAGGTAGCTGTGCGACACCTCCAAATTTTACAGTACTGTCTGCTCCCTCGGATCACAGCAAATATGATGGTAAAGTTGCACAGAAGACAACCAATCAGACCAATGGAGGTCTGATAAGACCTTTACCTGGTGCCAGCACAGACCCAGAGAATGCCGGACTCTCTCCTTTCCCCCCGAGATGCTCCAGCAGGAACAAAAGCCAGAACAGGACTATCAAAGAAGACCATCAGCTACTCACAACTCCACCCCCTTGGCAACCACCCTAGCAAGAGGCTCTTACCTGGTAGAAGCCCTCACATGGGGCAGCTTTGGAGAAACCCTATAAAAGCCAACTTGAACAAAGAAAGCTCCTGTATTGCTGCCCGAGACTGTGTGCTCTCTGTGTCCAGGTCTTGCTGCCGAGAGAATGTGTGCTCGAGCACATGTGTTGCCTGTATCTTGAGATGTGGACTTTCCTAGTTTCATTCTAATGTTGGCATGTGTACTGGGACTCCCTCTCTACTCTGGAGAAGGCCACACTACACATTACTTGAGCACATTACTCTCCCCATCCCCTCCTCAGAACTTCCAAATAAAATCTGTTATATGTCATTGCTTGCCTCCTCCCAAAATTCTTTTCTGTGAGCAAAAGGCAGGGACCCCAAAGGCCTGGGTAAGGTTGAGGACTGACTTTCCTTTCCTGTAAGGAGCAAGGCTCCCAGCCGTTCCTATGTGGCAGAAGTGGATGGACAGGAAATGGCAGATTCGCTTCTCATGGCGGCCGCCTCGCTCCTTGGCACTTCACAGAAGTCACCTGGGACCCCACTGGCATCAACACCATGTTATATCCCATGTGAGATATCACAGTGATCCCCAAACTTTTACTGAGCCCAGCTTTAATAATTCATTTGCCTTCATGTTGTAACACACAGTATGAAGTAAACTTGTTTGTGCCTGCAAGGGGCCAGGCCAGGGTGGTGGGTGGGAAACCGGGAGCATTGGTGGAGGGAAAGTCACATTGGTGGTGGGATTGGAGTTGGAACACTGAATGCTTGTATTTTGAACAACTTGGTAAATCATGGAGTTGTAATAAAGAAAGAGAAAAAACCCTTCCCCATGCCCTTCCATGGGATTTCTTATAAAATCCAGTCTTAGAATGATCAACTCTGCATTTATTTGTCTTCTAAAACATAATCATATCGTGCTGCTCCTTTTCAACTCCCACCTCCTGCCACTGGAAATCCAAAGAGCCCCCGTCCCCCACACCTACCATCTTGCTGACAGAGAAACAGCCCACTTCCACAACTAATCTCCAGAAGAAAATGCCACTGCTGAATCTTCCCATGTAGACTGTGTCCAGGCTGAGAACTAAGCCGTATGAGGAGGCCACTTCTCCGGCACCCCTGAGCTGTGTGACTCAACTCTCTGGGTGGGCCTTCTCTCCAGTTCTTGAGTGGTCAGCTCCTTCTTTCTTTGGCTAGTGTGTGTCTGCAGCTTACTCTCCCGATCACCTACACACCTTCCTGCTAAGCCCAACAAGGTCCCAGAGTCCTTCTCAATACAGTGATGGCTCCAGCTCACTGGGACCCATTATCTATATAGGTGAGAATTAAAGAATCGACTGGCAGTACTGACCCATTCAGTCATACTACCCACCACTAATCACTGTCAGTTGGGAAAACTGAGATCTAAAGAGGCATGAGACTCACCCTCCAAATCTGGGTGTGAGTTAGTGGTCAAGCGATCGTTCGAATCAGATCACTCCTGCTCTTATTCTTTTGTCTTTGCACCAAATTTCGTTTCTATTTCTACTTCCTCCAGCTCCCAGAGCACAGGAGGATGGCTTCCTGACCATACAGAGTATGGGAAGGGAGGCCAGTGGACAGGACACTCAAGGCTGTGAGTTGTCTGGCACCGAAAGAACCAGCTGAGCATCAGCGGCTGCAGAGGGCTGTTGCCATGGTGACAGACCAGCCAGAGCAGGGCTTAGGGAGCGAGCTGCTAGACGAGCTGGTTCTTAAATCAGCACATTACCAGATGCTAAAAAAAAAGAAAAAAAAAAGAAAAACAGCCTCTACCCCTTCTAGCAGGGTCGGGAAGGAAATCAGAATTGTCATTCCCCACTCATAAGAGTCTGAATGCAGACAAGCCACTGATACTCCCCCACGGCACTGCTCTTGAATGAGGAATACTTGCTTTTAGAACGGTGTTCAGAGAGGCAAGGTAATTCTTCAAGGTCACATACCAAGCTGAGCTGGGGCAGAGGAAGCAGCAGTGGGGGCGTTTAGGCTATGGAAGAAGGGGTGCATGGGGTGACTTTCCTCTTCCTTGGTGTTAGGGGTTATAGACCACCTGCCCACACCCTTTCCCAGGGACTTAGAGCCACTCACCTCCAAGACCCTGCCGCTGATGTATCGGTCACAAGTCTCGCACTTGATGCCAAACTGGGCGTGGTAGTCGGACTCGCAGTAGGGCACGCCATCCCTGCCAGAGGAAATCCACACAGAAAGAGGAAGTTTGGGGGGGCATGTGGGGTGTCATGTGGCAATTCCAGGACCTGGGGCTCCTGGTGGCTGGGTCAAAATTAGATGCATTTGGGAAGTTGGTTAACTCCCCAACTCCCCCACCTCCAGCATGTCCCAGTTGTAGGGAATCATAGGACCCCTGGGGAGGCCCAGAGATCTGCATCTGGAAAACGCTGAGTGAGCCTGGGAGCCATCAAAGGTGTTGTCTAGACATCTCCCTTCTCTGCTCTTCACATTCTGACTGGCTCCAAGCAAGCACCTCTGGGGAATTCTGCTCTCCCGGCTCTCTCTTTCCACCGGTTCTCTAGACCCCCACTCTTTCCTTTATCCCCCCGAGACTCTAAAGCATCACTGAAACAACCTGTTGCAGTTTTATCTTATTCAGAAAAGGTAATGGTTCTGCAGGGCACACTTCAGGGGCACATGGGAAACATCTCTGTCCTGTGCTGTTCCTCTCAGCCAGCAATCAGGTAATCAATATGACCCACTTCTGTGTCTCCTCAACATCCTGCCTCTGAGAAAGATTCGCCTGGACTGAAACCATCCCATGATACTCTCAGAACAGTAGACAACAAGCACCTCCCTGGACTGCCTCTTCACTGCTCTGTCCTTGCTCTGTGGTGAAAAGGGTTAAAAGGGCCTTTTAATTGTTGGGATAATTATTTTCAGCCTGTCCCTACTCCTGAGAGCCACCAACATTCATGGTGTATGTGATGTGTGCCAGGGCCTCTGCTGGGTTCTGCTGGGTATTTGGGTCATCCTACGGCAGCCCTGTGAGGTTTGGTGTCTGTCATGACATGCCTCACCCAGATTTCCTGAGCATGCCGGGGCTCAGGTCTGTCACAAATGCCCAGCCAATGGCAACTCGCGGGACCTTGACTAAGAGGGGCCTCAAGGGGAATGTTTGGGACTCAACCTCCCAAGGTCGACATGGAGGTAGTTGGGGTGCCAGAGATCTGGGCCCCACCCAACTATATATATCATCCCCTAGATATATGATGATGCCTTTATGAAGTGTGATGGACGTGTGAAGGAGGGACTTCCTGCCCTTGCAGGGTAGCAGAACTGGCAGTCACAGAAGCCTGGGGGTGAGGCCTAGCGCCTCCCTCCCCTGTGGCCAGGCTGGACCCCGGGGTGCCTGCCTGGGAGAAGGGCAGTGGCAGAGTGCCCAGGATCAGCAGCTGCTGGGCCTGTCTGTGCCTGGCAAGGTCTGAGAGGAGACTGTGCCCATGAGACAAGTCTCCCACCCAACCCACAGCATCCTGTTTGTTGGGTAAGTGGGTGCGCAGAAGGGTAGCGTAACCCTTTGTACGTGTGTGTGTGTGTGGGGGTGTCCTTGTCAGGGGTTGGGGACAATGAGCCAGCAGAACTTGGGTCTAAATTCTTGGATTGGGACAAATTTGCACATAAGAGCCCAATTCGGACCCAAGGGTTGGTGAGTCCTGGGGGCTCTGGAACAGAAAGGAAAGTAGTATTTTGCAGGCATATAACAAGAGTGAAGTTCTGTGTCTGGAGTCCTCAAAAACCTGATGAGGTAAGCCTGCCTGTCCCCATTTCAAACACAAAGAGAAGTCGAATTGTATGCCGAGGTCAGGCAAACCGGGCTTCTCACCTGGGCACTGAGGCCTGAGCTGGTGCTCACATCTGCCACTCTGCTGGGCCGGGCTGCAAGGTGGGCACTCTGTGTGCGTGAGCAGACTCCTTCAGAGGAGCCCCAAGCAAACACCTCTGGGGAATTCCGATCCAGGCTCCCAGACGTCAGCCTCCCGGCTTGGCGACACTCAAGGGCACTCCTAACTTGGCAGGCCCTGGGGGGAGCGCCCACTGTAGAGTGTCAGGGCGACCTCGGCTCACCTCCAACGGGGAGCGAAGGAAAAAGCCCCAACCCCTCTGCACCCCGTTTAGTCCCCTGCTCTGTGACCTGCTCCCTCCTCAAGGCCCCTTCAGGAGACTCGCCCAGTCTAGATTCTATTTCCTGCCGCTGGAAAGGGCGTCCCCTTTCCCGGAATGTTCAATTCTTCCCTGGCGTCTCTGTCACAGTGAGGCAGGCAGCTCCCTGTTCCTTTCTGTCAGCTGCTGCCCCTGGTCTGGGTGACTCTGAAGTTGCTCCTTCTTCTCACCACAGTGTCTAGGGGTCCCCCAGGGTCTTGTGGCTCTCGGCTCAGCTCTGTTCTGCTCAGGCAGGCTGGGTAGCCAAGCTGAGCCTGAATGGCTGTTGGTCATCTTTGCTACCCCCTGTGCCTGCACTATTAATTCTGAGGCTGAGGGGGACAGAATCATCCCCTTGGCCCTGCATTCAGCCAGGCCAGAAATAACAGGCCTTTGGCCTTCTGTGCTCCCCATCTTCATTCCCGGGCTCTCTAGTCTCCCCCCGGGCAGCTAAGCTTCCCGAAACTAAGGGGAAACTGAGGCACTGCACACTCCCTGTTGGCCAGACCACTGACCCAGTGGGAGTGGCTGCAAGAGCTGTGGGTTCTGGAGAGCAGAGCTGGGGCACTGATGCTAGCCAGGAGGGTCTGTCTGGCCCCTCAGTAGGTAGGTACGGGTCGAAGAGTGTAGCCACCACTTCTTTTTAGCTTCACTCAACAATACTGTGACTGACTTGAGGCTGGGTCTCCTATCCAGGCAAAGAGCATAAACATTGTCTTCAGGGGCTGGAGTGATAGCACAGTGTTCGCCTTGCATGTGGCTGACCTGAGTTCGATTCCCAGCATCCCATGTGGTCCCCCAAGCACTGCCAGGAGTAATTCCTGAGTGCATGAGCTAGGAGTAACCCCTGTGTATCGCTGGGTGTGAGCCCAAAAGGAAAAAAAAAACCAACCAACCAAACAAAAACCATTGTCTTCAGAGCAAGTAACTTACTCCTCCAGAACCTGGTGTCCACTGCTTTTAAAATAGGGGGATCAATTCCTCCCAGGGGAATTAACGAGGCTCCAGGTGATCAGGCACACTCAGCCATTAGTATAGTATTTGTTCAGAACAACAACCATAAATAGTGCCATAAAAAACATAATTTCATGCTTAAAAGTAATCGGGAGAGGCGATCAATGGGAGACGCGACAGGTGTGCGGGGCCTCAGTGCTGGAGTCTGGGGTTGTGAGGCATGAAAGGAGGGTGCTCAGAGGGGAGGCCCTGGGAGCCTAGAGCAGAACAAAGGGAACCAGCAGAGAATCTTGGGAACCAAGACATGGGGAGGGAGCTGCTGCCCGGGCCCGGCAGAGGGCAGGGGAGGGGGAACGAGGCAGGGAGGGGCGGCTTGGGGCAAGACCCACTTGCTGATATACTCTCCGGTGAGGATGACGCTGCACGTCTGGCATTTGAAACAGCTCACGTGCCACTGCTTGTCCAGCGCCAGGAGTGACTGGCCGTGCTTGATCTCCTCCTTGCACCCAGCACAGTCTGCAAAGACAAAGGCATGCAGCTGAGCAGAGGTGGGTCCCCGTAACCACTCTCTGTCTTGGAGTGAGTCAAGAGCCCCCCTTCCGGACATAGCTTCCCACAACTGTTCCCACAACGGCCCTGGCACATGTCTGGGTGTCCCCCTGGGAGAGAGAAAGGACTGCTGGAGCCTGGTGCTTTCCACACAGGGTTCGGTGTGAGGGGGAAGGAGAAAAAGTCCTTGGGCTTCTCCAGAAAGTTCCTGTCTCTCATTCCCAGTGAAGCCCAACACTGTACTGTTCAGCCCCATATAGAAAGAAGCTTCCTGCTACTCGACATGGTCTGGATCTTTCTGCAACAGTGTCCCTTGGGAGCATTTGGACACCCACACCTGCCAAACTATACAAAATCTCTACTCAGGAAAGGCTAAGCAGCGCTCCTGCAAGGAATAATCTCAGAGTCTCTGTTCTCACTCTCTGGCCATGCGCTCAGTTGCAAGCACAGGTCTGTGCTGTGTGTTCTATGGCAGAATTGATTCTCTTGCCTAGCACTGTGTCTGGCACAGAGGGAGAAGCCAAAGCAAATCTGCTGAGTATGGAAGAGCAGGCTGATGGTACCCACGCAAGGACAGACTGTACCATGTCTGCCCACTCCCCAGTGTGCTCACACTAAACTTCCATCTCCCTAAGTAGGAAGAGAAAAGTTTGATGAGTCTGCCCTGAAGCAGAAAGGTGCCCTCTCTACATCACCACCACACTGGACTGTGCAGGCCATGAGGGGGCCCAGTGTCTGCTTATTGCTTAATCCCTGTCTGGGGAGGGGCGGGAATTGGAGCCTTGTCCAAGGTCCTTGGGAGATGCTGGTATTTGAATGGCTGATTGAATGGCAGAAGCTTTGGGCACTTTCTGGGCCCCCATGAAGCATAGGACCAACTACAGAAACTACCTCTTGGGACTGGAGAGATAGGACAGTGGGTAAGACACTTGCCTTGCACTTGGCCAACCTAGGTTCCATCCCTGGCACCCCATATGGGCTCACGAGCACTGTCAGCTGGGTTCCATGAGTGCTGAGCCAGGAGTAACCCCTGAGCCTTACTGGGTCAGAAAGAAAAGAAGAAAGAAAAAAGAAAGAAAGAAACAAAGAATGAGAGAAAGAAAGAAAGAGAGAAAGAAAGAAGAGAGAAAGAGATAAAGAAAGAAGAGAGAAAAAAAAGAAAGAAAGAAAGAAGAGAGAAGAAAGAAAGAAAGAAAGAAAGAAAGAAAGAAAGAAAGGAAGGAAGGAAGAAACAAAGAAGAAAAGAAAGAAGAAAAGAAGGAAAGAGAGAAAGAAAGAAAAAAAGAAAGAAAGAGAGAAAGAAAGAAAGACAGAAGAAAGAGTGCTTCTTGGCTGCCTTTCCAAGAGCCTTCAATGGCCCCTCACATAAAACGGGCAGCAAGATCTCTGGCTACAAAATTCTTCAAGCCCTAGGCCTGTAGAGGGGAGAACGAGAAAATTTGTGGACCAGGAGAAAAGTTTGGAAATTTCTTTCTCTCTTCCCTGGGATTAAATCTTACCCTGTGCCTGACTCCCATCCCACCCTAATAATCAGAGGTTTTAGAATATAAATTTAGAGAAGTCAAGGGCACCCACAATCCCCTTTTATATGTTTTAGTCTATACCTGGCCCAGTTCTTGGGGGTACTCCCAGATCACTGCGTGGGGGCTCTCTCGGGAGTGCTTGGGGAACCATATGCTGATGGGGATGGACTTGGGGCTCTCCCATGCACTCCAGCTCTTGAGTTCCTTCCCTAGCACTTCCCCCCACTTTGGCAGACAGAGGTCTGGTGTGTGTCAGGGCCCCAGAACTTGGCAGTTGCAATGCACCTTGGAGATATAGCCTGATGGGTCAAGACCACATACTACACTTAATCACTTATCACTTAACTTCCCGTTAGTCGTGGATTTGCTCGAGCGGGCACCAGTAATGTCTCCATTTGTCCCTGTCGCGTGCTAGTGTAGCCCAATGGCATCTGTTCGCTCTGGGAACATAAAGAGCCTCAAACCGATCGTTCATGATCTTGATGAAGAAGTCTGACCATCTGGTAGGTGGGCGGCCACGCGGTCTTTTGACATCCCGTGGAATCCAGTCGGTAATAGCTCTAGTCCAGCGGTCATCTTTAAATCTCATTACATGACCAGTCCATCTGATTTTTGACACTTTGGCAAATGAGACAGCCTCCCTGATTCTTGATCGTTGATGGATGTTGGAACTCCGGATTCTTTCTCTCATTTGAGTGAAACGTGATATTCCAAGCATAGCTCTTTCAATTCTTCTTTGGGAGACCTGAATAGCGTTCTCATCCTGTTTGCGTAGGGCCCAGGTCTCTGAGGCATATGTTAATGCAGGAAGAACAGTGGAATCAAAGAGATGTGCCCGGAGCTGGAGGTTCTTCGTCCTCTTAGCTATTTCTTTGACGCTCTTGAAGGCGTTCCAAGCTGCTCTCTTCCTCCTGCGCAGCTCGGGTGCCAGGTCATTTGTCATGTTGACCTCTCGACCTAGGTACACATAGCTGTTGCATTCGGAGATGGTCGTTCCGTTGAGAGCGAATGGGGCATCAGGAACGAGGCTGTTTCTCATAAACATTGTCTTCGTAAGATTCAGCTGTAGTCCTACCTTTCCACACTCACGGTCAAAGTCGGCCAGCATTTGTGCCGCTTGGCTGATGTTTGGTGTTATTAAAACAATGTCATCAGCAAAGCAGAGGTGGTGTAGTTGCTGACCATCTATCTTCACTCCCATTCCTTCCCATTCCAGTCGTCGCATGATGTTCTCGAGGGTGGCACTGAAGAGTTTCGGTGAAATGGTATCACCCTGCCGAACCCCTCTTCTGACATCAACGATCACTTCTTTGTAGAATGGTGAGATCCTGGTAGTGAATCCGCAATACAGCTCACGGAGGATCTTGATGTATTGGGCTTGAATGCCCTGATTGGCTAGGGCTTCAATGACTGCTTCCGTCTCAACAGAATCAAAGGCCTTCTTTAAATCAATGAACGTTAAACAGAGCGGCATCTTGAACTCCCGAGAAACCTCAATGAGCTTGGTTATCGTGTGGATATGGTCAATGGTGCTGAATCCTTTGCGGAACCCGGCTTGCTCGCATGGTTGTCCTTCATCTAGTGTTCTGCCAATCCTATTTAGGATGACTCAAGTGAACAACTTGTAGATGACAGACAATAGGCAGATCGGGCGATAGTTGCCAATGTCATGGATGTCTCCCTTCTTGAACAGTAGTACGGTCCTGCTGGTTTTCCATTGGGACGGAACCTTGCATTCAGACAGGTAGTGTGTGAAGAGCCGAGCCAGTGAATTGATGAGTACTGATGGCAGGTTCTTCAGGTGTTCAGGTCTGACCTTGTCTGGGCCGGGTGCTGTTTGCTTCTTTACCGATGAAATGGCGTGTCAGATTTCGGAAGGGAGAACGTTGGGAACAACATATCCATCCTGTGGAATTTGGTATGTCGGCAAGTGGACATGGCTATCGAAGAGATTTGAGTAGAAGTCATGGATAATTTTCTCCATTGCCGTTCTGGAGGATGTAATGGATCCATCAGGACGTCGGAGGGCAGTCATCTTGGTCTTGTAGTTGGCAAAGGACAGGCGGGCGTTACGAATACTTTTCCCGGCTTCTGCCGCATCTACCAGCACTTCTGCTCTTCTCTCTTTGAGGTCTTCCTTGATCGCATCTCTGCACTGCTTTGGGAGCTCGGACGTTAGCTTGTGGTTGCCTGAGGCATGCGCCAAACCACGCTGGCGAATAAGCTCAAGAGTTTTCGAAGACAGGCTTTTTTTGTGACTATCTCTCTCTTGGCGTTCCTCGCACATTCATGGAGGTGCTGTACCAGTCGATCATATTCCTCGTCAATGTTGTCAACAATGGCATCTTCCCATGTTGCCGCAATAGTGCCAAAGAGCTCTCAGGACGCTTTCCAGACCCGCGTGGCAGCTCCGGCTGAGACTCACGCACGACTGAAGACCCACAGAACAAGATAAGCGGAACTCTCTGAGACCTTGGACTCCAGGCTCGGCGGACCCAGGGACAGAGATTCTCTGCTTGCTCCCACCAACCACAGGTGACAAAGGGATTCTAATCAGGAGCCCCACCCTACCCTGCCCTGTCTGCTTCCACCAACCACCCATGGATCGGATTGCGCACAGAAGACCCACCCTACCCCTACTGGGACCAGATAAATACTCCACTGGCAGACACTACGGACACTACCTCCACTACCCAGCCGCCGCCACACTCCAGGACGCTTTCCAGCCGCGCGACACATCATAAGACACTGAATACCCATCTTCCGGAATTGTCGTACCATATTTGATAGGGTTCAAATATGGTAACACCTACAAGGGCAATTAGAGGTCGCCCCAAAAGCCTCTATCCCTCTCGAAAAGACTGGCAAGCTACCGAGAGTATTCCGCCTGCATGGAAGAGCCTGACAAGCTATCCGTTGTGTATTCGATATGCCAAAATCAGTAACTACAACTGGTCTCATTCACCTGACCCTGAAGGCTTCACTGACACGGCAGCACTGGCAAGCTCCCCGTGATGTATTCAATATGCCAGACACAGTAACAACAAAGTCTCCAATGGAGACGTTACTGGGCCCGCTTGAGCAAATCGATGATCAACAGGAGGGCCTTTACTTTTACCTTTACTTCTGGAACTGTGAGTTATCATGGATGGTCTTGGTTGACATAATGAACTCAGACAGTCTCTCACCCTGTTTGTTCCATTCTAGGCCATGGGTCCCCATGTGAAGTTCTTCAGCTGATCTTCTCGGTCTTATCTTGGCATTAAAATCACTGACAATGATCTTGTAGAAGGTGTGGTCTTCTTTATAGAACTTCTCCAGCTCCATGTAGAACTTCTCAATTTCTCTTTCATCATAATGAGATGTTGGTGCGTAGACAACGAAGATAGAAACTGCCGGCAGTGAGCCACATCTATTCAAATGTAAACGTCCGATTTGGGTTGTTAGGCATTCGAATGAATCAATGCTCATGGCCAAGTTTGTGTTGACAGGGACACCGATGCCTCCGACACCTCTTTTATCGCATGTTCCGAGGAACAATTCTTCTCCGAGAGGGGCGGAGGAATCGAACTCGGGTTGGCCATGTTGTCTGCGTGCAAGGCAAACACCCTACCGCTGTTCTATCTCTCTGATGTCGCTGTTGTCCCAAAATTCCAAACGGGAATGGACCACCGTCTCCTTCGTGCAAAATTCTACTTCACAGAGCGGGGAGAAAAGGCTGCAAAGTTTAAAAAGAGAACTCCCAGAACGACCACCAACTGGGAGCTCTTTGGCAGTATTGCAGCAACATGGGAAGATGCCATACTACACTAGAGCCAGTAAAAATTTCCAGGTTTCCCATTTACCCTCCACTGTGATCTGTAAACTTTACAGTAATGTCCAGTAATGTCCAGAGGGACTACTGTTAAATTAAGTTAAAAAATACTTCATTGTGAAAAAAAAGGTTAAACATCACTGGAGCTTTCAGCAGGTCCTAAATCTTTTTGGAGGTGACGGATCTTGGCTCAGATTCACAGAGTGTTTGGTCACACACACCCCACAAGGTAGATCCACACCCCCCTGAGAGGTACTCTGTCCCCTTCCAGGCAGCCTGCCTTCAAGGAAGGAAGTTCACTTGGCACAGGCAAGGAGTTATGATGCTGTCCCAACTGGTCAGCGATGCTCAGTTCCATGCGATGACACCTATTTCAGGCATCCTAGAATAAGGTTTTGTAAACCTTTTCCATGGATGACCACTTTTCACCTGAGGAACGCAACATGGTGAGCCCTGCTGGAACTACCTCAGATTCATGACAGTGTCGACTCTGGATTTCTCTCATCACTGTGTGTTCAGGAACTTTTTACTGTTGCCATTTTTTTGGACCCTCTACATTCAGTTATGTGACACCCCCTCCCAGTGGGTGACAGCCTCAGTTTATATTGACAGGGGCTGGTCCCCACTCTCACTGCTTTCTTCAAACACACAAAGACAAGGACAGCTTTCTCTTCTATGTTTCTCACACTTCACCAGTCTGTTTATCCACTGGCCAAGTTCACTGTGGATCTCAAGGAGAGAAACAGGCCGTGACCAGCCACACAGTCACCACCTCTTCCAGAAAACATATCCAGAGCTGCCTGTCTCTTGACACTCCGATAATGACCCCCAGCCTCTAAGATGAACTCAGTGTCTTGAGGTAAAATTTAGGAGGCAGCCAAGTACTGTTAGAGGTTCGGCTCAGTGGTGAGTGGCCGAGGGGAGATGTCGGCACCCCTACTTTCTGGCGGTCTGATGGCTGAGCCCAGTTGCTTCACTGCAGTAGCTTCCGCTGGGAGATGGAACCTTAGTCAGGCTTGCAAGGACTCAGCACTGTGTCTCACACACGTGGCCACTAAGTGTCCACCACCGTTATTTCACATTCTTGTGTCTTTGACGGGGAAGCCTTTAATGGGCACTGTCCGACTCTGACCGCTGTTGTGCCGTTCTGGGTGCCTGCCCACTGGGCTTTTCTGTTCAGGCCTCATGGCTCCTCCTCCACTATGCTGGCTTCGGATGTTCCAAGATCTTTCCCTCCCTCTTCTTTCCCCTTTCACTTTTAACCATGGGCAGAGCCTGGCTCCTACTGGGGAGTGTGATGTGAAAAACAGAGCCAGGAAGGCCACACCCTGTTCCCAGTTTGCTGCAGAGCCAACTGTCCACTCCTCTGCTGCTCTGTGTTCCAGAATTACAACCACCAGCTGGCAGAAAGTCTTCTCCAAATCCCTCCATCTGCTGAGGTCTCTAAAGGCCCGACAGCCATTTTTAGTACCTCCTGCACACTCAGATCAACAAAAGTAAGTGGCTTTCGTAACTTACTATCTGCGGGACTTTGGACAAGTCACTTAGGATCAGTGGGTCTCTGTTTGCTCATCTATAAAGCAACTCACTCTTATCTACTTCAGAGTCACAATGACTAAAGGAGATGTTATGAAGAGAAAATTTAGTACAGCACTGGACACTACAAATGGTCAGTGTTAGCAGAGCTGGTGGCCAAGGTGGTAGGGACCATCTTTTTTCCTGGTAGTAAATGTGGTCATTTCGGTGCTGCACTAGCCACAATGGCGGTGGTGCTCATGAGTGTTGGTTGTGATGGTGGTGATGATGGTGACGTTTCTACTGTTGCTGGTCTCAATGAGGTCTGTGGGGGAAACATTCCTTCTTCCTGTGATAAGTAACATGAGTTTTTCCCTTTAATGGTTCCTGAGTATTCTTGATCTCCTTTGAAGTCATTGCTTCCATGATTCATCCTCTGGAGTTAAAACGTCACATACCCGAATTTTAAAAAAATTCACTTTCTCTTTGTTTTCCTTTTCTAAGAAATGTTCTTAGCACTCTCAGGTTTTGGTTCCACTTACCCTTGGGGTCTCAGGTGATGTCATTCTGCAGCAGGAACAGTTACCACCTCCAGAGAGAAGACATTTCTACAAACTTTGTTCCCTGAAGACCCACCAAGGATGTCTTTACTTGTTGAGTCACAACAAGAGAAGTTGAAATGCCTCTTCTCCCATAGAGACTGACAGGTGTCATTATTCCTCTTCTTTGCTCTGCCCTCAGAGCTAGAGAATGATGGAGGGGACATTTAGCAGTCTCCCCTAGCACATACTCATGTGGAAGATTCCCGGAGTCTGACGTACATGTGGCATGAGCTGAGAGAAATAACAATAGATGCAGAATGCCTCTTCTCCGCCCTCCAGGGCGTTTGCTTTCTAAAGGAATCCTGCTGGAACAGCATCCTACGTGTTCTATTTGGACATATACATTACTTTGATTCTCATCACTGAGGATTTGGTTCCCACAAAGCTAGGTCGACCTAGTGTCAGGGAAGCCAGGGGACTGCTTTCCACGCCACAGGGGAGCAGTTCCAGATCCCCGACTTGCCTTTTTGCAGCCTCACACGCTGTCCTGCAGTCCCCACCTCCCACCCCAAACTCTCATCAGCTGCACCCTGAGGCCCTGGTCGGCATGGCAGCACCCCAGCAAGCTGTCCCATTGGAGGACATGTTTGAGAAGTTATGGCAAGTTGGGGTGATTCTTCGCCACCTGCAAAGGAAGCAGCAGACTTGTGGGAGGGAGGTCACTGCACATTCTGCATGAAGGAACTACTGACTGGCATGGGGCAGCGGGGAGGGGGACTTCCCCCAGCTCACCACACTGGGTGGGCTCGAATGGGTCCCTGGGAGCTGAGCTCTGCTGACTCGGGTGTTCCGTGCTCCACTGGGTGGGCAGCAGCTGGCGTGCGGTCTCTGCAGGAGCGCAGCTTAAGCCCTGGCACCCAGGCCCACACAGGGACACTGCGCAGCGGGCTAATGGCTGGTCACTGATTCTGCCCATGCAGCCGAAGCATCATGTAACATGAACAAGAGCTGAGCCTGGTGGGTCCCCAGACATCAGGGGCTCATTCATGTGTGAGGGGCCCGAGCAGTTGAGCGCTTGATGGTAGTGATTTAGACAGCTTGCCACCAGCTATCCAGTGGAGAGGCTTTTCCAGACTTTAGAATCCCTGTTCCCAGAGACCCCATTCATCCTTGGTCCTTCACTCCCCCCACCCCCAGGGCTGCTAAGAAAGCGTAACATTAATCAGGTCCCAATAGACATCTCCCCTTCTCTAGATAGGGCTCTCAAACTTGGAAGAATCAATGAATCACATAGGATGATAAAGAATGTGATTTCTAGGTTCCATTCTGAGCAGTCCGAGGTGGGTCTGAAAATTTGTATTTTTACCAGATACAGATGCAATGCCACACTACACACAGGCTAAGAGACACGTCTTTGTGGGATGTTCTCGAATCTCCCTTCTCAGAGTTCCAGTGGTATTTGTAAAAACTGAGAACCACTAGGGCTGGAGCGATAGCACAGTGGGTAGGGCGTTTGCCTTGCATGCAGCCAACCCAGGTTCAAATCCCAGAATCCCATATGGTCCCCTGAGCACTGCCAGAAATAATTCCTGAGTGCAGAGCCAGGAGTACCCATGTGCATTGCCGGGTGTGACCCAAAAAGCAAAAAACAAAAAAAACAAACAAAAAAATAAAAACAAACAAAAACTGAGAACCACTTACAATTAGACACTTGATCATCTCTGTTAGGGGGGGCCCTGGGGACTTGGGGACTCAGAGAGGAGGTGAAATCAGGAACCCAGCTCCTCCCACAAAAGCCCACCCAAATGGCCACCATGTGGCTGGCCCACACCATTTCCAGCTGGGCAGCCTGCTTTGCCCACGCTGGTGCCTGGGGAGGCTTGTGAGTCTGGGCTGTGTGCCAACTGGGTCATGCTTCTGATGTGCTCCAGAGTGGGAATCTCCCCACTTCTCAAACAAGCCTAAGAAAACAGTTACTAGTGCTGGCACTCAGGAAGCGGGGAGACAGTGTCTGCAGAGGGGAGGTGCTGGTATGGGAGGACTCACGGCTTGGTCCACGAATCTTGATGGGTTTATTGCTGGCCATGGACTGGGAGCACGTCTGACACACGCATTCTTTCCCGCTGAAAGTCACTTTGTCTCCAATGGGGAAAGGCTTCCTGTAAGGGGGACGAGGTAGACATTCAACACTTCCTCTACAGAGGGGTTCCCTGTGTGCTCCAAATTCTTTAGTAAACTGTGGAATTGGTTGGGTAAGGCACTCAACTAGGAACTAGGGACCTGACATTACTGTTTTTTCCTTTTTTGTGTGTGTGTGTGTTTGGCCCACACTCAGCAGTATTCAGTACTCCTGGCTTTGTACTCAGGTACTACTTGGGGGACCATATGTGCTGCCGAAGATTGAACCCAGGTCAGTTGTGTGAAAGGATACCTATTCCCATACTATCGCTCTGGTCCACATGATATCATTTAAACCCTGGGCTGATCACAGCATGAGCTTACTTGTCTCATTTGTAGAAAAACGAGTTGACATCTCCTCCTGCAGTTGTTCCCTTTTCCTGAATAATTGCAATCATTTTGAAGATTAAGATGAAATAGAACTTAACTAGAAATTTATCTGGGCCTTGGTTCCCTTCACCAATTTGTACTGTGAATCTCTGTATTCAGACTTTTTACTTCTTGTTATATCAATACTGAGAACTTTCATTTAAATGAAAAAAATCATCTATTTCTTCCAGTTTCAAGCTGCCACAGATTTGTATATAATGTTCAAGCAGAACTCTGAAGTTCTATATTAGAGTGTCCTATATTATAGAGTTCTATATTGTTTTCATACTGCAATCATTTTTAATTTGTTTTTCCCCTCCTCCTTTTAAAAATAGCCATCCTCAAGAATGGTTTATCTAGTTTACTGGCCTTTCCAAATAGTCAGTATTTGGACTTTGTCATTATCTGTTTTATTTGCTTACTTATTTAGCAAACATGCACATGGAATTTACTGTGTTTAAAACTGTTTTAAGCACTTTACAAATATTAAGTTTATATTTTTATAGCCTGTATAATTTTAAAGCTTCTGTATATACATGCTCATATATATATATATATATATATGCTATGATGTATAAAGAGCCTCATTTCATTGGCAAGAAAAGTTATTTTGTATTCCTCACTTAGCACTGACTATTTTCACTAATAATTTCCATTGAGATCAATATCTAAAATCTTTAGGCTTTGCAATATGCTGTCTTCTCTCCAAACAACTTCTTTTACTATAATCTAGGCAGTTTCAAGGTCTTTAACCTCTGCATGAGAGCAGGTTGAGTGATGCAGCTCAGAAGTTTCAAGCTCCTAAGTGTTAGTCTCCCTATGAATAGAAACTTGGTGGACTTCTCAGCACTGACAATCCGGGGTGTGGCTGCCCCCAGTCTTGCAGCGTGGAATGCCTGCTATGGGCTTTGATGAGATGGCAAATTCATTGTATTTTGTATCCAGGACATGACTAGTGTGCATGATACACACACACACACACACACACACACACACACACACACACACACACCTAGGGACTGCCTTGCAGCTATGTACCACAACTGATGGAATAAGAGGAGTCCTGGAAGTCACTGAGCCCAGGCACAGTCTTGTGTCAAAAGGACATAGCACAGCTGTGGACACCCACTTTGTCTTCATGAGTTTAACAAAACTTCCCATTGTGCTCGCTAGTAGATCTGTGGTAGAGCCTTTGCCTTACATATGTGAGATCCTGAGCTCAATCCAATGACAAAAATTTTTCATCGTAAGTGGGCAAATGACCAAACATACTATACTGTAAACAATAATGCCCAAAAGGAAGGAGAGAGAGGAAGAGAGGGAAGGAGAGGGAGGGAGGGGGGAAGGGAGACAGACAGAGAGAAGAGAGAGAGAGGAGAGAGAGGAGAGAGGAGAGAGAGAAAGAGAGGGGAGAGAGAGAAGTAAAGGGCCTGCCATAGAGGCAGGCTAGGGCGGGGCGGGGGGTGTGGCGGGAGAGAGCTGTTGGTGTTGGGAAATAACACTGATGGAGGGATGGGTGTTGGAACAGTGTATAACTGAAAACTTTCATGAAGGCTTTGTAACTGTATCTCACGGTGACAGGATGATTCAATAAAAAAAATACATTAAAAAAACTTTCACCGTGACTTAATTGGAGTAGTCCATTAAATTTTAATGTATTTGTGGGCAGGTCTGAAGGTTTTCTTATTTGTTCCATCTTCTTAATGTAGTGTTTGGCATGCAGTGCCCAGTAATGTCCATTTGCTAAGTTAACCAGTGACTGGGATATTGGAGGTGAGGGAGGGGTGAGGGTGATCTTTCTGTCATCAGGGATGTCTGAAAGGCTAGATGATGACCGTTATTATAACAAAAGGGGCAATAAAAGCAGATATGTAGCAGTGGGAGGTTCTGGTGGTACAGCAGATAGAAATATGAACTGAGGTCTTTGTGTGCATTATGTCCCCTATATTCCTAAAATATGCAACACAGAATGTTAATGCCCATTTTGTTAGTAGATAAGTCAAAGCTCACAAAGGCTGGTTATCAGTAGACAGCCTTGTGCCACGTGCAGCTGTGATAAAGGGAGCCGGGACCACATCTGGGGCTGCCAAAGTGGATTCCGAGAAGTGGGATACTCAGTGGTTCCCCTGGGATGCTCCAAAGCATACTGGGAGCTCAGACCTTCACTCTGCCTTCATCACACACCAGTTAGTGTTTCACATTACATGGCATTTGACAATGAAGATTCAGCTGCTAAAAGGCTTAGAAACCACTGTCTGGTCAGTGCCTTCATCCCTGAGTCTAGAAATCCAAGCTCCCAGAACAATGGCCAGCACCCAGAGCTGCCAGATAGAGCTTGTCCACCCTCCCCTGGGGCTCAGGCAGAAGTTCCCACTCACCTGCATAGGCTGCACACAAAGCACTTGGGATGGTAGGTACGGCCCAGGGCAGAGATGACCTCGCCGGTGATGAAATCCCGGCAACTGTCACAGCGGGTGCCGTAGAGTTGCTGGTAGTCCTGGGTGCAGATGTACTCCTGGTTCTTGAAGAAGAAGCCTGACTGGGCCAGGGCGCAGCCACACACTTGGGGAAACCAGAGAATGTTAGAGTTGGTTGAGCCCATGGGAGGTTGCAAGCACAGGATTTCCACTGGGTCACCATGAATCAAGAATGGTGGCATGTCACAGAGCTATGGGGGCCAGACTCTCTCTCTCTCTCTCTCTCTCTCTCTCTCTCTCTCTCTCTCTCTCTCTCTCTTCCTTCTTTTTTTCTTTTTGAGGTCCTCTAGCAAAGTGTTTTATTTATTTTTTTGGGGGGGATGTAGTAACCTATTTATTTTTAAATGAAGTTATTTATAATAACTCATTGCATTTAACATTCAAATATCAATCCTACCACCATTGCACATTCACACCACTATAATTCGAATGTTTCCACCCCAAATCCCAAATCGTGTCCCCCAAAGCAGAACAAAACAATTAATTTTGAATTGCTTGTTATGAATGGGGCAATTATTTCTTTAATGTAGCCTGCAACAGCATAGAAAAAAATGCTCACTCATGATTTGGGAAATACAAATCAAAACAACAATGAGATATCTCACACCAATGAGAATGTCACATATCAAAAAGTCTGGAACTAGCCAGTGTTGGTGGGGATGGATGTAGTGAGAAAGGAATCCTTATCCACTGCTGGTGGGAATGTTGTCTGGTTCAGCCTCTATGGGAAGCAATATGGAGATGTCCCCCTTCCAAAAAAAAAAACAGGAATAGAATTGCCACATGATGTTGTGATGCCACTTCTTGGCATTTATCCCCCAAACACAAACACACTGATTCGAAGGATATATGTGTGCCATGTTCACTGCTGCACTTATTACAATAGTCAAAATATGGAAACAACTCAAATCTGCAACTATAGAGGAATGGATCAAGAAATTGTGGTGTATAGACACAATGGAATGTAGCTCCAAGAATGAACAAAATCATGCAATTCGCCCTGACAAAGATGGAACTAGTAAATATTAGGCTGAGTGATTCGGAAGGAAAGGAAATAGATGCAGAATGATCTCTCATAAGTAGGCCTTAAAACATACACAACAAGGTAGCAACAAAGGGCTGAAAGAAACAAAGGGGGGAACTGACCCACACAATTGAGTTGTTGTTGGTGGGATTTGAAAGAGAGGGGCATGGGAATTTTATTATCTCAACCAATACAAGGTGGGAGGAAGTGGAGTAAAGACCACCTGCATCTGGATCCCTGGGGGGTTTTGAAGACATCGATGCCTGGGCCTATACTGCTCACCCTGGGTTAGGTCCCAGAATACTCCCTTTAGCAGGCAGATTGGGAGGCTCACTGGCTTCAGGATCTGGGAAATCCTCACGGAAAGCTGGAGGCTCTGTAGTTCACACAATGGCACATAGCTGCATTGTCATAGATTTCAGGGAAGCATCAGTTAACAATGCCTGGGTACCTGCTACCAGCATGACTGCTACAGAAGAGCAGGGTAGAAACCTCCTTAATGAGACAATCGAGTAGGGGAGGGGGGATGGATGATTTGAATTTTACTGTCTGTTCTTGCTATCATCACTAAAGTTTTAGTCTGTTCTCTTTTGGGAAGCAATCCCTCAACAGGGAAGAGGCAACATGGGTACAGAGAGAAAACAGTTCAGGGAGAAAGACTGGTGCAGACACCAAGGACTGTTTGTGGGGAGAAAAAATATCAGAGGCAGTGTGAAGAGAGTATGGGAGGCTTCCTGGAGGAAGCAGTCTCTGAGCTGAACTTCCTAGAAATAGAATGAGCCAAGGCACAGAGGCACCAAATGGTGCAGGGGATATTCATGTGGAGATGGGGTAGAGGGAGACTGTTGATTTAGGAAATAGGAGGAAGGAACCCATGGAAATATTGCAGACTAGTTGGAGCAGGGCTGGAGTCTGGCTGAAGTATAGACTTTGTGGGATACTGAGAAGCCTCGGATGAATCCCGCCCCCCCCCCAAATTGTAAAGATTTTTTAATGACATGATTTATGAGGCAAAGAAATGCATCTGAGATAAAGACACAAAATTAACTAATTAATTGTCACTGTCACTGTCCTCCCGTTGTTCATAGATTTGCTCGAGCGGGCCCAGTAATGTCTCCATTGTGAGACTTCTGTTACTGTGTTTGGCATATTGAATACGTCATGGGTAGCTTGCCAGGCTTTGCCGTACAGGCAAGATACTCTCAGTAGCTTGCTGGGCTCTCTGAGAGGGGCGGAAGAATCGAACTCGGGTCGGCCATATTGGCCACTTGCAAGGCAAATGCCCTATCGGCTGTGCTATTGCACCAGCCCAACTAATTAATTAAATAAAACAAAAATAAACTTTCAGACTATTATACAAATTAATGGTTCCCAGAGGGGAAGGGGAAGGAAGGTGGGTAAATCAGGTAAAAGTATCCAACTGTGTAGATATCCAACTGGAATTCAGTGGTGACTTAATCTAGAACATTCAGACATTGGTTCATAGGTGCAAAACTAAAACTTATAGGATGTTATCATGTATATCACTTTACTAGTTGAATGTGTTTTCTTTTTCCATTAATATAAACACAAATTTAAATGCTTAAAATTATTTTGAAAAACCTATAACATACAAAAGTAGGAAGAAAATGATCCCCAATCACCCAGTTGTGAAAATGATCAATTGCACTTTTTTTTTGCTTTTTTGGGGTCACACTCGGCGATGCACAGGGGTTACTCCTGGCTCTGCACTCAGGAGTTATTCCTGGTGGTGCTCGGGGGACCATATGGGATGCTGGGAATCGAACCCGGGTTGGCCGCTTGCAAGGCAAACGTCCTACCCGCTGTGCTATTCCTCCAGCCCTGCACTTTTGCATTTTGAATTGAGAGATAATGTGACTGGATAAGGACTTCCATAAGATCTTTTGGGATAACCTTGAGAACAATATGATGGCATCTAAGCTACACAATAGGAGAGTCTATGGATATAATTGCAGGTGCGTGAAACACTGATTCTAACTCCTCCTCCCAAAGATCTTATAAATGTGGGAAATGAAATTTCCCTCTGAGAATGAAGTTATGAAACTGACACCATATGTGCAAAGCAGAGAGAGGCAAAGTATCTTCCAAGAGATTGGATGTTTCTAAGGGCCACCAGCAGTACTGCGGTATTGATCCAGCTAAGGCAGGGATGGTTATCTGGGAAAGGGCAGATGAGTAGCCACAGGAGGGTCACCTGAGAGCCCATCCAAACCTGGGGCCACCTCCCCACTCTTGCTCTGAGTCTGCATTCTCCAGGTGATGGAGAATTGGACTTAATTCCCATACTTCCCACTTGTGGGACTAAAGCAACTAACCAGGGCATCATAAACCAGTGCTCTGGGAACCACAACTCCTGCTTATACTGAAAACCAGGCCATCTGGTTTCACATCCCAAGTTCCCAAGGCGTAGTTGGCAGCCAGCTTTTTCAAACATGACCCTTGTCGGAGAAACCAAGCAGCCATGGTGTAAGTTCTAGCCAGGGCCAGGTGATAGAACCCTGTTGACAAACTCAACCTCATCTTTAGGAGGAAATGTTCTACAAAAGCAGCTGGGTTAAAAATAAGAAAGAGGACTGAAGGGGGATTCAGGGACAGAGAGGAAGGTTTTGGGTATTTTGATGGAGGTGGGGTACAGCAACTCTATGTATTGAGACTAGCATGTGTATACTATTATAACCATGTTACCTAGACTATCACAAAAAAAAATCATCAATACACAAAGAAGAGCAGAAGGGATTTCTGGGTGAATGCAGACCAGAGGCAGGCCCAAAGAGCAACACTGAGAAAAGAGAAGGAGCTCTGACGGACACAGAAATTGGGGCATTACCCAGGGCAGCAGAGACCAGAGGTCTCAGGGCAAATCATCAGGGTTCTGGTCACTACCATTAGCCATTTGGCTCATAAGGAGTCTGGCCCTCTTGTCCTAGACATTTCAATGCAAAATGAAGAAGCTGATAAAACTAAATGACTGAGCTATTCATCTGACGCCCACATCCTAAGAGTTGGGGGCAAAGGCACGCTTCCTTCAGGGTGTACTAGTGCTTAAACAATTTAGACTCAGTGTGTGCCAGAGCTGAGCAACCTTGGAGACCACCCTAAGGGGAGAGGGAGGCAGGGCACATGAGTGGAGTTGGAATTAAGAGTTGGAGAAGGGTTCATCTTCCACCAGGGTTCATGGAAAATGATCCCCTCCAACAATGCCTGGTGTGGAGGGCAGTCAAGGTGAGAGTACAGGCTGTTCTGGGCTGTGCAGGTGGCAGATCCATTGACTTCATGGCTGTGGAATGAGCCAGGTCATGGCCTACCACCTCATTGGAAGCAGATCCTGTTTTTTCCCTTCTTTTCTCTCCGTTGTTTCCTCAGGCCAACTCCGCCTCCCTCTGCACCCCAGTCTACCCCTCTCAGTGGAGCCAGACCAGGAGGCCCAAAGAAAACTTGGAACAATCAGTTCCTCCCTTTTCCCCAAGGAGCGGAGGAGGAAGTTTTTCGTAGAAAGGATGTCAAGGCTGATAAGAATCGTAGGAGTTCCTGGAATTACAGTGGGAAGCACAGGAATGGAAGAGAAGCCAGGCGAGCCCCGTACATGTGTGTGAGGCTGAGTAGAGCTGTGCACTCGAGTAACAGGAGAGGCCCTTCAAGAGAGGTGGGGAATGAATGGTGCACAATTGCTATTCTATTTTATTTACTTATTTAATTTTGTTTGCTTTTTCTGGGTTACACCCGGTGATGCACAGGGGTTACTCCTGGTTTTGCACTCAGGAATTACTCCTGGCGGTGCTCTGGGAACCATATGGGATGCTGGGAATCAAACCCGGATCGGCCGCGTGCAAGGCAAACATCCTACCCGCTGTACCAACGCTCCAGCCCACAGTTGCTATTCTGTGCAGAGAAAGAAGAATATGTCTGTTCCCCTTTTTCTTTTCCTCCCCCCCCCCCAAGTAAATCATTTGGATTGTCAAAGTTAGATATTCTCTGAAATAGCCATAATGAATCCACCGTCACACCACAAGAAGCCTTGCACCTAGGCCTTTGTTCCCCATTCTCTGAGGCTCCTCAGGAGCTGTGTGACTTTGTGTGACTTCACCTCTTTGCAGCCCTGCTGCCTCGTTCATAAAGTGAGGCACTAGATAGTAACTGAGCACACATTCGGATCTAAGAGTCCAGCACTCCGTCATGTAATTCTGTTGATTTTCCACATTTCAAACAAGGTTGAATGACATTTCAATTTATGAAATGTCAAAAATCAAGAAGTTTAGATGGACCCCGGAGAGAGATAATGATTCATGAAACACTTGTGAAATACATTGCAGAGGCAAAGATGTATAAAATAGCTAGAGAGAATTTACAAAACAATGAGATACACTCCCTGCTTCCAGTGCTAAATTTGCTCGCAAGCACATTTCCAGCTCCTGCGAAGCCCATCTGTCTTTCCCTAATGGCAGCCCCTCCCCACGCTGTTCAAGCCCTGTGGCTCTCAGCTGCTCACTTTTCTTTACAGTTTTATCCCCTATGATACATCCCTAGATAACATAATGTTCTGTCTTGCCTTCATTTGAACTTCATGCTGATGGAAACACATGACATTTACTCTTATCAGCTCGCTTCACTGATGTTGTTTCCAAGCTCCACTCCTGTCCATGCCTGTAACTGCATTTCATTCATTTTCACTGCCGGGCTATATTCTCTTGTCCAACAATATCACAAATGACCTAGTCTTCTGCTGAGGGACATCTGAGCTGCCTGAAGTTGTTCTCTCTTTTAGAAATGTTGCTTTGAACATCCTTGTATTTGTAAGCTGATGTCTATTTCCCCAAGACTTTTTCCCCATTCACAGTTCCACCAACAAACCTCATGGGTTTACATCATCATCAACAGCTGATTCCTTATATGAAGTCAACATGTTGGGTGTGAAATCTCATTGTGATTATTCTGGAGGTGTGGGTTGGGTGTGGCATGAGGTGTTAGGGAAAACTCAGGGTCTGCCATGCGCTAGACTTTACTCTGCCACTTGAGTTATTTCCTTGGTCTCCTTGAATTTCTTGTGATTTTGAATTTTTCATGGCTATTACTGGAATTTGACAATCTTATTCTATGTTTTGGGGACATGTGTGTTTTCAAAGTTCACCCGCATGGAGCATATATGGTATCTCATTCCTTTCTATTGAGAAAATTTTGATGATTGTGAATAACAGTACTTCGAACATTAATGCACACATTTTTGCGTGGACATAATGTTTTCAATTCTTTTGAATTTAGTTCACTCCTATATTTTTTGGAGGAGTTTTAGAATTTTAGCATATAGACTTAGTTTTGTTTTTTTTATTTTGAGTCTCATTTTGACCAGGCTTTGCCTCCTGTTCTTCATGATTTATGTAGCCATGGAGGAAAAGCTCAGATCACTCAGGTTCAGCATAAACCACTGGATTAACTTGGCCATTGTAAGTCACCAGGATTCTTGCTTTCATATTTTTTTAACCTTTCTAGACTCTTTCTTTTCATGTTAGTAGAGCATCTCATATTAAAAGAAATTCGTAGGACCAGAGATATGACTCAGTGATAAAGAACATGCCTGCATATGTGAGGCCCTGATCCTGAGTCCCAGACCAAAAATAAACAAATAAAAAAATTCATATTGGTCTTAGATCTCTAAAGCAACAAGATAGCTCAGTCTCTATACTGGTTATTCCTAGAAACAAAATCCTCCCATTTGTTTTCCCTCCAGGCAAGTTGGCATGAAATTAGTCAGAAAAATAAGACTGTTTCCCCTTTAAGTCCATTGAAAGAGAATCTATAATTTCCCCAATATAGATTGGCAAAAATGGGCCAAATTCTTGCCTTCTCCATATTCATACTACTGAATTTTTTTGTTCGTGTTTATAAAAGGCAAAGTTTATTTCTTCAAGCTTCTATATTTGGGTTGTCTATTTGACTTGTGTTGGCCAACAGGACATGTTCAAGCCGGACACCAGCTGCTTACTGAAGCCTGCTTTCTTGTTGTGCTTGGAACTCTCAGGCCACACAAAAAGGCTCAAGCCAGGCTGTGAGAGGATGAGAAGCCATATGGAGGCACTTAGGTCAAGAGCTTGCCAACACTGCCCACTGAACACTCCATCATCATAATGAGGCCAGCAGGGAGTTAGCGGCTTGGGCCAGTGGAACTACCCAGCCGATCCAGAGAATCAAGAGCTAAAAAAATGTTTTTCAGACATTAAATTTTGGAGAAAGCAAAAGGTAACCAATACACTCTCTGTAGAATATAACTGCATGATCAGAATTCAAACCTCCTTCCCACAATTTTATTGCCTTTACCTTTCGTAAAGATGGCAACACCTATGGTACACTTGCAGGGTAACTTGCTTAACTAAACTTGCTTAACTAAAGAGGCTTGCAAAGTCTCAATAAGAAATTATCATATCAATTAACATGTATCCCAGTGCTGGACAGATAGTACAGCAGGCAAGGCACTTGCCTTGCATGTGGGCTCAATCCCTGGTACCCATATAGTTCCCCAAACCCTGCCATTTGTGATCCCTGAATGCAGAAATAGGAGTAAGTCCTGAACACTGCCAAATGTGGTCCCCAAAACAAAACAAAACAACAACAACAAAATGTATCTCATGTGAGTTTCCATCAGCAAACCAAGGAAGATGACTGAGCAAAATGCTGGAAGCAGCTCTGTAAATAAAAAGGACTTTCAATTGGCCTTAAGGTCAGTCTATGTCCATGTTGTGGGGTGGCGCTTCAGGAAACTACTTTCATATCAATTATGCTAATAAGGGGCTGAACCGATAGCACAGAGGGTAGGGCATTTGCCTTGCATATGGCCGACCCGGGTTTGATTCCTCTGCCCCTCTCGGACAGCCCAGCAAGCTACTGAGAGTATCACGCCCTCACGGCAGAGCCTGGCAAGCTCCCCATGGTGTATTCGATATGCAAAAACAGTAACAAGTCTCACAATGGAGACATTACTGGTGCCTGCTCGAGCAAATAGATGAACAATGATACGACAGTGCTACAGTACAGTGCTGTGTTAATAAGAATGTGGTTCAGGCTCCAGCTGTCAGAATTAGGAACTGTTCTGGGCATTTGCTCATCGAATTAATCTGTCATGATGACAACACAGTGTGAAATCAGTTCTGAAGAGGACTAACTTCATGGGACCAGAAATGTGGAAAGAGTACCATGAAGACTCTAGCCTTCTCCAGATGGAATTCCCGTGACCATGAGCTTACACATGCAAGGCCCGGGTATGTGGGTTCCAGAACTAAGTCTCCAAACTGCATGGCGGCAGTGGAGATGGGCAGTCCCACTCCAGCTTCCTGTCCGCTCTTGGTGCCGGATGTCATGCCCACAACCTGCCTCTGGGTGCCATCTTGGCGCACCAACAGCCCTGGTCCAGAAACTCCCAACTGAATCCCAAAATGGATTAGTTCCCTGCAGAGATATCGCTGGAACCCAACCATTTACAATCTTAGAATTTCAGAAGTGTGCAGCCGCTTATGCTGCTGTGCAACCTCTCATGTTATGGAAAATAAATGATTTAGCGTTGCTCCTGGTAGGGAGGCTTGAATGGTGGTGGGAAAATTCAAGCAAAATACAATGCCCCAAAGTAAAGAGAGAGTATCTGATAAATTATCTGCCATAGAGGCAGGGTGAGGACTGGGATGGGGGTGGGGATAATGGGGACATTGGAGGTGGAAAGTTTGCACTGGTGGAGGGATGGGTGTTTGATCATTGTATTGCTGAATCCCAAACATGAAGACTTTGTAACTGAATCTCACGGTGGTTCAACTAAAAAAAAAATACCGTGAGTGGAGCTGGAAGGGCTGAAGGTCTTCCTTCTGGCTGCCAGTTACCCTTCTCAGAAACTCTTAGCTTGTCTGGGTCTGGGCGCTCTTCATGCATCAAAGATGAGTGGGAACAAGTGCTAAGCCACCGCCATGTGCTCCCAAGGTACTAAGTCAACTTGTAATCTAAGTCAACGGTCTAACCCTAACCCTAATTTATAACCTGAGTCAACTTCTAACCTTAACTCTAACCCTTAAGAACCTTAACACTGGAGGGTCATCACATCCTTTGAACAGGTACTCAATACAGTGCCAGACCAAGCCAGGAAAGCAGGCTCTTCCATGAGCTCACTTTATGTACATTAGCACCCAAAGGGGGATTTTTCCACATGGGAGGTAAGCTCACAGTACTGCCTTTCCTTTTGGGCCAATTATCACTTTATGGTCATCCAAGCTCTTCCCTGCCCCCCTCCAATATCAACACTTCTCTCCCTCTCCACACTGATTTGGGGGAGTAGTCTTGTAACAGGTTCCAGGCAAGTCTCTTTAGGTGTCTTCATGGTCATTGTGTGGTCTGCCCACTGTTCCAGGGGGACACGAATCTCAGAAGGGAGCTGGGAAACTGGGCCTCCTACCTTGGCAGGTGAAGCATCTGATGTGGAAGTGGTTATTGTGGACACGAACCACTTCCCCCTTGCACGTGTCTCCACATCGGTAGCAATGTATGACGTTGGAACTGCCCCGGGGATTGTAAGGGTTCTGTTGATAAGGAACTGTGGAAAGAAACAAAGAGATTAGCATCCCGAAGGCCCTTATTTTAAGTCTGACACTAGGGCAACCACAACTGGATGAAAAAGTAGAAAGGGTGGAAATGATTAGCAAAAATACCTTCAATACTTAATCAGACTAAGTATGCCATGATGAGGCATCCTTAGAAGGCAAACGGCATTAAGATGTGAGTCCTAAACTCTCCTTGAGCAGCAAATGTGTGTGAACATGATATGACCTTCCCTTGTATTAGAGGCCAAATTTATGGATGAAGAAAAAGGAGGCTTTAGAGCATTTCAAGGCAAGTACTCTAGAAACACCACTTCTTAGGCAATCTCTGGATCCAAATCAGTTCTCCAACTTTGCAAAGGGAATCTGGGTCTTGTAATCATACGGGTTTCAAAGAAACAGAGAGTCTGTAGGTTATTTCTCCTTCTCATCTGGGGCACCCCAAAGGTGGGCGGGTGAGCGCACCACCTGCCAAAACAAGCCCTGGCAGATGAAAACCTCCAGTACTCATCATCGCATGCTCACAGCTGATCTCCACAGACTTGGAACAATCCTCATGCATTAGAATTTTCTCACAATGAGAATGAATCTGAGGAAAAACCCGGTATGTGGGATTTGTGACCAAAATCTCCAGGATCTCACAAGATTGGGTGATCTCCCCCTTCTCCGTTCTTCCAAGAGCCTGACAGTCATACCCACAAACTGCCTCTGGTGCCACATCGGCTCATTAACAGCCATGATCCAGAGACTTGGAAGAGATCAGCAAGCTGCAGAGATGCCTCAAGACCTCAAGTCACTATCCAGTTAAAAATTGAAGTCCACCTGTATGACTCTATTTTAAATTTAAGAATGTATGAATGCAGTCATGCTCCTGGCTGTGCAAAATTTCATACTCTACACCACTGGTGTACCAGCAGTAGTACACCACAATGGAAGGCAATGAATCTCAATTTTAAAAAATATGGCAAGTGCCCTGTCAAGCTCCCTCCTAATATATATGTGTATATATATATATACATACATATATATATATATATAAACACAGGGCTGGAGTGATAGCACAGCGGTAGGGCGTTTGTCTTGCATGCAGCCAGCCTGGCCAAGCCGGGTTCGATTCCTCCACCCTTCTTGGGAGAGCCTGGCAAGCTACTGAGAGTATTCAATATGCCAAACACAGTAACAAGAAGTCTCACAATGGAGACGTTACTGGGCCCGCTCGAGCAAATCGATGAACAACGGGAGGACAGTTACCATTGATATTAGCACACAAGTTTCAATCTATAAAAACATGTTATAATCTCTAGTTGACTCCAGGGTGAGATATTAACAATCCTCACATACTTTCTTCTAAAAAAACTTTTTTGATCATTTTTTTTTCTTTTTGGGTTATACCTGGTGATGCACAGGGGTTACTCCTGGCTCTGCGCTCAGGAATTACCCCTGGTGGTACTCAAGGGACCATATGGGATGCTGGGAATCAAACCCCAGTCAGCCGTGTGCAAGGCAAATGCCCTACCCGCTGTGCTATTGCTCAAGCCCCATCATTTTTAGTGTATTATTCACAATAAGCAATAAAAAATAAATTATTTAGGGAGTGCTATTGAGACAGGCTTTGGTGGTAGTTGGGAAAATTCGAAATAAAGCTGGTGGGAAGGTGTAATGGTGGTGGGATTGGTGTTAGAATACTGAATGCAATAAATTACTGTAAGCATAAATTAAAAATAAAACAAAATTAAAAAAAAATTTAAAAAGTCACTTCTCCCTGGTTTCCCCAGCACTATAAAACAAGAGTGGTCAGTGCCTGCACAGACTTTCTGTAAATGCAATACAGTAGAATGCACTGTGGTTGGAGGAAGCTTGACAGGGTACTTGTCATAAAGCAGCCTGGATGGCACTTTGCAGGAGATTTACAAATGCCCAATCTATGCCATTCGAAAAGAGTTGGTGGAGTTTGTGAAGGAGTTCATACATCCCAGGATTCATGGTCAGCTTCTGATGATGCTTCAGAGCTCCACAAGTCTATGGAGTCTCTTGCTTTCTTGCTTAGATTTTTCTCATTTCTTTCTTTTTCTCCACAATGACCCTCACCTTGATTGAGAACTGCAGAAGCTACTAGACTGAGCTTCGTTGAGTCAGTTCTCTTTTCCTTTCCATCAGTTTTTATTTAGGTGCTGTAGTTTACAATACCATTAACGCTAGTGCTTCCTGCAAATAATGTTCTGACTTAACATCCCCCACCACATTGTCAGCGTCTCGCCACCCGTGTCCCAAACTTCTCTCCCCCTGCCCCCCACGACTCACAGGTTCTCTTGCCACTGGCTAGACTTTCTCATGTCTTTTCTCATCTCTTTTCCCTGAAACATTCTAAAATCTTGCCATCTGATATTTAATAATAATAGACACCTTCCTAGAAGGACCTAGAAGTGGTGGCTGTCTGGTGCATCTCATTCGATATAAGCACTGAGATCATCATGCCACTGAGCAATCAAATATTCCCTCTTCAATAAAGTTTCTAGGGACAATGGGAGAGACTCACTCAATTCCCTCAATGTGTGTTGGTACTCTGTTAGGAAAAGGCTCACTCTTAACCCGACCAGAAATAAAAGCAACCAATGACATTGGAATGTCTCTATGGCTTATACTTATCAACATACTGGCTAAACTTGAGAATGGGCATACAATCAGCTACCCTGGACACACAGCAACCTTGACCTGCTCAGAAATTTAGCAATCTACCTGGTCTAGTTCAAGGGCTTCTCGACCCAGTGGGAACTATCCCACGAGGGGTCATGTCTGTTCACTGAAATTTGAACCGTGTATTTCAGGCACACGAAGGACTGCATATGGTGATGTGATTGGCAATGAAATGTGAACAGAAATTGCATGTGCCCTTTCCAATTGGAAGGCTTCAGAGCCAGAATTTGATCTGTCATATTGCCTTTCCCCCAGGCCAGTAAGCAGCCAGAGCTTGCGCTGAAGGGTGGAGGGTGCGCTGAATGTAGCCGCCTGAATTCCTGATGGAGGAGTCCTGGAGTAGAGTGCTGAGCTAACCCAAATTAGAATTTATCTTAAGTGAGGAAGAATTTCTGTTTTCCTAGCCTTTAACATGTTCTATAAGTGGAGCACACTGATACAGCTGCAACCTAATATTTTTCTATAATTATAGAATTTGTGTCAGTGATCACACAGCTTGACATGTATGAGGAACAGGGTTTGATCCCCTGTATCACAAATGAAAATAAATTTGTGTCTGTTATGCATATTAATCTAGACTTTCTTTTGATTCTCAAAGATGATCTAACTTATCTGCCCAGTGGACCTAGGTGATTTGTCCTCTTTTTGAAGACAAACAACAGGGAAGCCCGACATCTGATGATCTTCACTGAGAGTTTCTGGATCGTAAGTGTGCTGTAGGTTCAGGAGCAGACTGAGGTCTAGCAGGCTGCTTCCAACCACTTTGCTGCCCAATGCAGGAGATGGTAATCCTCTCTCATGGAGTGCATGTTCTATAATCAAGTCTGGTTTTTGTTTGTTTGTTTATTTAAAATTTTTGCTTTCAATCTTGTGTTGAATTTAAGACCAAAATTAAATTGCGGGAGAGAGGATTTTGGGCGAGGAGGCTGGAACATCTCAAAGAGCTGAAATACTTCCCTTGCATGCATGAGAATCTAATTTTGAAGCTTAGCACTACCTGCTCCCCAACCCCAGAACCACTGGGCCAGAGTTACTTCAGGTCCAAACCACTGGAGATGCCAACGACCTCTAGACTTCTTTGAGCACTGTTAGAGGAGGCACCCCCAAGTTTAACAAAAGTTAGTTCTCATTCAGTAGTACTTCAAAAAGTGACCCAAGTGTACCACCAACATTCATTAGTGTCTTACCCCTCACCCTGTCCTTATAGCTGGTAGCAATCTGTCTCACTACTCTCAGAGTATCCAAGAATATTTTCTTTTCTTTTTTCTTTTTTTCTTTTTTTTGCCTTTTGGGTCAAACCGGCGATACACAGGGGTTACTCCTGGCTCTGCATTCAGGACTCACTCCTGGCAGTGCTCAGGGGACCATATGGGATGTTGGGAATCGAACCCGGGGCAGCCGCGTGCAAGACAAACACACTACCCGCTGTGCTATCGCTCCAGCCCAAGAATATTTTCTTTAGTTCTATCTCCTTTGCTTCCTTTTTGATTCTTGTTTAGTGGCCATGAGAAAATACTTCACTCTCCTGCTTTCCTAATTTGTGAGGAAGGTGTAGATCTTGTGTACTACTGTCAAGGGGAACAAAGCTGAGGGTTATAAAATTTAAAAAAAGCTAATAGTAGAATCATCACTCTTGATGCAAGAGTCTCTCCAGAACCACACACAGATCCTCACATACCTCTTCTAATTCAACCCACCTCATTGTTCAAGAATCAACTTCAAGATCAGTTAGATTTTCTCCTGTCTTGATTTTTTCAATCTGAGAGGAGAAAGGATTTGTAATCATGATCTTTAGTCAGAGCTCAGTCTTTGCAGTACCCAGATATAAAGGCATGAAATCAGAGCGAGGCGCTGGGTTGGGCAGGTGGCTCTCTGTGCCTCTGATGGAGCCCTCAGCCCCAATTCTCCTGCATTCAGGCTGAGAACGTTGCCTAGTATGGCTGAGCGAAACCAGTTTCTGCTGTTTGCAAACAGTCCCATAAGCAGAAGTGCATGAATTGTTGGTAAACGTTCTTCCAAACTATTGATCACACTGAGATACAAAAGATAAGATTCGTACTGCAGCATAGTAAGAGTAGAGCTTATAGGTGTGATCAGACTTCTCCTAATTCAGAGAGAACCACAGAAACTCCAGGAGTATTGGGAAGCAATCCTTGGATATGCCACCTCACTTCCAAAAACATTTTGTTTCCTTAGAAAATTAAAGTAGCAGCCTTATTTAGCCTCATCCTCTGTGTGAGTATAAAACTGAATGTAAGAGTCTTTTCTTCTTAACAACATATGTAACACTGTAGCACTGTCC